TTAAAAGAATGAGGACATTTTAGTCATATTATAAAGGGCAAAATCTATTTTACCTCTATGTAATATGACTCGATAGCACTTAACCTCCTGTCTTTTAAAAATAGCCACATACTCCTATGTGATTTTGAACTAAAATGCAACTATTAGCATCGCTAACTATAGATTTGAAATGATTATAACATCCTCAAACCAAATATTTTATGTTATTTTATTTCTCTCTCATCTTTCATACACATAATTTATAATGTCTACTATTAATTCAATTAAATCACAATTAATTATAAAATTTTAATTATTTATTGTAATTCTTAATTTTTTATTCTAATTTTAATTTAATTATATTTTAGACCACAATTAATTCTAAATATTTAACTATTTGATGTAATCACTAACTTTTTATTTTATTTTTAATTTAATTATATAATTTCTAACATGGTAATCTAATTTTAATTTAATTACATTTTAGATCAATTCTAAATTATTTTTATTTTATATTTTATTTAATTATATTTTAAATCGATTCTTAATTATTTTTATTTTATTTTAATCAACATATTAATTTAATTTCAAGTTTGGAGAAAATGGGGTAAAAATGTCCTTTTGTTGTATTAATTTCATTCTAATTTTTCAAAAAGCAATACTCACTCTTAAAATTGATGCGTATAATACACCTTCTGATAGTTTAGATAGAAAAACTAACGGTAGCACTTTAATCCAAAATTACGTGAGTGTTTTCTAGCCATGTTTGAATGATAGAAATGTAAAGTGTTTCAATCCCAAACCACAAGGAAATAAAATGAATTTAACCCTATTATAAAAGAATTAAATTATTTCAATCAAACATTCATCACTTTTTTTTTCTATACTACTCTCTCCATCTCAAATTAATGATCCCTTTTGAAAAATTTAACATTTTTTGATAGTACAATTATTATATTTTTTTATAATACAATTATTGTACTTTTTGTGTTATTAATAAATTTAAAAGGAGGACAAAATAGCAAATTCATATTATTTCATTCCTTAATTTTTTAAAATGGACTAATATTTTGAGATAATGAAAAATGAAATAAGAGATTAATATTTTGGGACAGAGGGAGTAGTAGAAGTACTTGGGTGTTGTTTGGCATGTACTAGTTTAGGACACCTTTTATTTTATTTAAATTACATCACCTCTTATTTGTATCACATTACAAATTAATCAATCACGATTATAAAAACCCCGACCCATGATTAACGTTAATCCATACTTAATTATATCCAATGAGTAATTAAAGTGATATTTTGCATCATATGTTGCCTTATTTGTGTTTATATCTGTTTAACGTAGAAAGATCTGTTCATGTTTTCGTTTCAGTTTGAGAATTGAAGGCCTTATCGGCATCCAATTCAGAAATTGACTTAATTTATGTGTTAATTAGAATTTTTAGATTTTTATGGTATGTTTAATTGAAATTCAGGAACGATTAAATTAGAATAATTAATGTCCAATTGGTTAGTAAGAGGGAGATTTATGACCTGGATTGGGCCGTGGTGATGCCGGACAAATTGTGGGCCGAACACATTTGGGCCGTGGTAGCCTGGGCCTACCCAGAAGAGATTTTTGCTCGGTAATGGCAAAAGGCGTATGGAACCAAGCTACTCAGACTTGTTGGTATGGAAGCCGGTCAAGTGAGGGTTCGGCTGAGATGTCCGCAGCCTCGTAGGGTTCCAAGGTTCATGCGTTGCTCGGTTGGAAGGCGCGCACCCGTGGCTCGGCATGAAGGCCTTTGGTTAACCGGCATGCCCTACTTCACGCTCAGCTTTGCCGGAATGCACCCGAGCTCGGCTTTTACGGAGCTCGGTTATAAGAGCGTTCGGGTGTGAAGTGCAGCATGGCCGTAGGAAGCCGAAATGATGCATCCCGGCTGCCAAGCTCCCAGTAGAGTGGGCTGGCAGTTTAGGTAGGTGATGTTCAGCTGGATTTGTGCTGACAGATGGGATAGCAGCACCATGTGTCGAGAGACTAATGAGAGTAGATTTGGGGCGCAGAATGTATATAAGCATGTTTGCGACATGCTTAGACAGATGAACATTTGGTGAGATTTACACAAAACACTCAATCCTCTCTCTCTCTCTCTCTCTCTCTCTATCTCTATCCCTGTGTGTGTTTAACTTGATCGTCGGAGGGGTATTCCGGCCACACACCACCGGGTAGCTCACCGCCGTTATGCTCGCAGGTCGATCGGATAGACAGGAGCTTGGAAGAAAGAAATACAAGCTTGCTTGAATATTTGCTCCCCGTACAATTAGCTTAATCAATAATTTAATTAAGCTATTAAATAAGCCTATATAAGGCTAATATAACTATTTGAAGTCAATTGTTACACCTTTATTTCATCCTCCTTGAACTCCAAACGTGTGAGAGAAAGAGAGAGACTAAGAAAACAAGTGAGATCATGAGATCAACAAGGGAAATAGGAGAATTACTAGGATTGTTGGGAATTGAAGAGAATTCTGAAGCTTAATCCTCTACTCTTGTGAATTCAAAGTTTAAGGTAAAAAAATCAAGCCTTTAGTTATGTCATTGAGGTACTTAACACATATATTCAAAAGAATTAACTGAATTGAGGCAAGAATTAAGCTTATTGGAGTAGGCAAGAAGAGTATACATATATGCATGTACATTGCATTGCAACTAGAGCATGATGTCTAAGAATGTGTCCCATACATGTTCATATTTTGGTTTTAGTTTAAGAATTCAACTTGTTTTTGTAGCAATATCTCTATTAACCATGTTTTGAAAAGTTGAAGCTTATATTATTGCATGCAAGTCATGTTCTTGAAGTTTTAACTTGAATTTTGGCCAATTTACTTACTCTTGGGCCTTGATTTTGTGAAATGATCCTTAATTTTAGATGATTTTCCAAGTTTAAATGTATTTTCTCAAGTGTTTGGCCCAAATGGATGAGTTTTGTAGCTTAAAGTTGAAATTGGGAGCTTGGAGATGAATATGGAAATTCCAAAATTCGACATCTCTGCTCGAGCGTCAGATCCTGCGCTTGAGCAGCCACCTTTGTTTTTGCCTCCGCTCGAGCGACCAAAAGTACGCTCGAGCGTGAAATGCAAGCTTCCAGAAGTTCCATGTTTTTGTAGACAGCTCAAGTAGCAAGAGTTGCGCTCGAGGGAGGGTATGAGTCTCACGCTCGAGGGACCATTGAGCATGAAAATTAGACAACCAGTACTTTTCCAAAGTTTGCAGACCGCTCAAGCGAAGGAAGTTGCACTCGAGCGGCCCTCATATGTTTTCATGTCCGCTTGAGCAAGGGAAGTTACGCTCGAGCGGGGACCCCTGTTTCCAACATTTTGACCCATGTGTTTTCAAGTGCATTTTGGCATCCTTATTGCATCTTAGGCATTCCTAGGCCAAGATTAAGACACCATAATGAGGATAAGAAGTAGAAACACACCAAGATAAGAAAGAATTAAGCTAATGTTTCTGGGTGTGTAATTCAGTACGTATTCGTTTTGTAACTGTGTAGGTCATGCGCCACAAGACGTCTGATTTTCTTATTATGTCTGTTTGCCTTAAAGCCATCTGTTAATTGTGAGTAATAACTTACTAAAGTGATGTTCAACCTTATTTATTTTTTGTATGATATAATAAGGCATGTTTGCTGAATTGCTATCTGGAACGCCATTTGTGAATCATGATTGAATGTCCATTTTTCTGAAATGTATTTGTGGCATCAATAGTTCATGTGGCCCTCGCCCGACGGTAACAATACAGTGGCTGATATGCACGTGGCCCTTGCCCAGGGGTAACAATACTGTGGCTTATGTTCACGTGTCCCTTGCCCGAGGGTAACAATACCAAGGCCTATATTCATGTGGCCCTTGCCTGGAGGTAACAATACCATGGCTACTTGTGCACAAGATATGTACCTTTATGGTCGTCAGTATCGACTATACATGTGGGTCTCAAGACTAAGTTGATATGATAGCTAACGGATGTACCACCTATAACTGTTATGATTTCTAGATAAGTATGTGAATCAAAGTCTGTTTCTGATTTGAGATTCAAATATGCATAAAGATTTGTTTCTGATATAAACTCTGTTTTCTAACTCTGAGATGGACATCAGTCATTAAACTCTTTACCTTGTTATTATTCACTGGGCTTTCGCTCACTCTATTATTTATGTATGTAGGTGACCCGGCATATGGCCAGGCTCAGTGATGACCGGCTTGAGAGTTTTTGGTCAGCCAGCCTTTGCGCCTCCTGAGGAAGTTCCATATGGTCATGTTGTGAATGTAAAGGCTTTGTTTTCGTTTGGATTATGAACAAATTTTTAGTTAATTGTATATTGGGCTAAGTCCCTTTTTATTTCTATCTGTAATTAATGTGACAATATGACGTCAAGTATATATGTATAAAAGTTAAAAAAAATTATATCTCATATATGTTTACACAGCTCAATGGACTATGTATGTTTCTATATTTGCTTCCGCAACCCCTAATTATATGTTATTCAATTCGGAAGCTTTTGGTAATCCAAGGATTACTGGCCGGTTACGACGCTAAACCTATAGGGGCAGGTTTGGGTCATGACAGAATGGTATCAGAGCACATGTTCTACCGCACACACGAGTCCATATGAGCTTAGGATGTCCTAGTAAGAAGTATGGGCATTCCATCTGCATGTGTGAGTGTGTGGTAATCTTTATAAATGCGAAAATGAAATTTGAATATGGACAAATAAAAATTGGAATGAATGAACAAGATTATTCCTATGTTTATTATTACTTGGTGTCTTTGTAGCAATATGGAGAATGCAAGGAGAAATGATACAAGTGAATCTTCTGAGACCCGAATGAACAGAATGGAACAGATGCTTGTGACTTTGACTGAGGCCATGACGCAGCAACTAAGACAACAACCTTAGCCTCATCCGCCTCCACCAGTGTTAATTGAACCAGACAGTAATGACATCATCAATTTGACTCAGAAATTTATGAAAATGAAACCGCCGACCTTCTTGGGTGTCATTGAACCATTGAAGGCAGAAACCTGGTTGCTGGAAATGAAAAAGTTATTTGAAGTATTCCCTTGCTCTGTAACTCAAAAAGTTCTTTTGGCTACCTACACCCTAAAGGATGAAGCCCGGAGATGGTGGCTGTTGGTTCGAAATAACAACGGGGATATGACATGTGCACAATTCAATGAGATATTCTACAACAAATACTTTCCCCAATGCTTCAGGGACCGAAAAGTTTTTGAATTTCAAGAACTTAAGCAAGGGAAGATGTCCGTAGCTGAGTACAAGGCTAAGTTCACCGAGTTGGCCAGATTTGCTCCTCACATGGTGGACACAGATTATAAGAAAGCACGAAAGTTCGAGGGAGGACTAGATTTGGAAATATTTGATTGAGTAGGCGTCGTGAAATTGCCTACTTATGTGGAAGTGCTTAATAGGGCATTGATGGCAAAAGCCATAATAGTAACCAAGAAACAAGCTACAACTTCAATAACAGAATGGAGAAGCAAAAGATCAAGATTCCATTTTAAGAAGGGCTGATCATTTTCGAAGAAGCAAAACACAGGGTCTTTCAGTAACTCTAGTCAAAGTAGTGGATCCATTCCAAACTGCCCCGACTGCAGAAGGAAGCATAAAGGTGCATGTTACCGTGCATCATGTGCGTGTTTCCAATGTGGCAAGACTAGCCACATGGTTAGGGATTGCCCGATGAGATCCAATAAGGTTAACAGTCCTGTGGCAAGTTTAGCCGGGTCTACTTTTGTAGCAAGATCAAATGCAATAACTAATGCCATGGGTAACGTTGACAATGAAACGTTGAGGTAAGGGAGAGTGTTCATACTAGTGCCCAGAGATGTACAGAACACCGAGTCTGTGGTATTAGGTATAATTTCAATTTGTGCCCAGAATGCATATGTCTTGATAGATTCTGGTTCTACACACTCATTTGTGTCGCATGCATTTTCTCAAAAATTAACTAGACCCTTAGAATCCATAAATTATTTATTGTCTGTATCTACGCCATCTAGGGGTTCTATGGTATGTGCATATGGATATCCGACATGTGATGTTTTGATTGGTGATATGACGTTGCACGTTGATTTGCTGCCTTTGAGCATTGATCACTTTGATTGCATATTGGGTATGGACTGGTTAACAAAGTATTGTGCATCTATTAATTGTGTAAATAAATCTGTTGTATTTCATCCACCTGGTATGCCTGAGTTTGTTTCACTAGGAACGGAGTAGTTCATCTCCCATACTTGATTTCTGCCATGAAAGCTATTAAATTTCTTAAGAAGGGATGTAAGGGCTACTTGTGTTGCATATTGACCGCATCATCTAACAGTGCTAATGTGGAAACTATTTCTATTGTTTGTGAATTTCCCGATGTGTTTCCGAATGACTTGCCTAGAGACTTAGTTGGGAAATTGAGTTCACTATTGAAGTGACACCGAGAACACAACCTATTTCTAAGACCCCTTACAGAATGTCAACCTCAAAACTGAAAGAATTGAAAACCTAACTTCAAGAACTGTTAGATAAGAAATTCATCTGTCCAAGCACTTCAGCTTGGGGTGCTCCAGTCCTGTTTGTTAAGAAGAATGATGGGTCCTTAAGATTATGTATAGATTATTGGGAATTGTATAAAGTAACCATGAAGAACAAATACCCACTACCCCGAATGGATAACCTATTTGACCGATTCTAGGGGGCCTAAGCGTTTCTAAGATTGACCTTAGATCTGGGTACCACAAGTTAAAGGTCAAGGCAGAAGACAGAGAAAACTGCATTCAAAACTAGGTATGGGCACTATGAATTTTTGGTAATGCCATTTGGGGTAACTAATGCACCAACGACATTCTTGGATTTAATGAATAGGGTGTTCAAACAATTCCTGGATAAGTTTATTGTTGTCTTTATTGATAATATGCTAATTTATTCTAAAAGTAGGGAAGAACATGAGACCCATCTTAGAATTGCCCTACAGATTTTGAGAGAAAAGAAACTGTATGCAAAATTATCCAAATATGAATTTTGGCTTGATAGTATGGCATTTTGGGGAGATGTAATTAGCAAGGACGGTATCTCTGTTGACCCTCAGAAAATTGAAGCCATTGTGAACTGGCCAAGACCAACTAATGTGTCAGAAGTGAGAAACTTTCTGGGACTTGCAGGTTATTATCGCAGATTTGTGAAAGACTTTTCAAAACTTACTATGCCATTAGCACAGTTAACACAGAAAAATGTACCATTTGATTAGAATGATCAGCGTGAATCAGCTTTTCAAGAGTTGAAAACCAGATTAATGACTGCACCAATTTTGACTTTACCTAATAGTACTGATGGGTTTCAGATTTACAGTGTTGCATCCTACAAAGGCTTGGGTTGTGTATTAATGCAAAATGGTAAAGTGATTGCCTATGCTTGTCGACAACTCTGACCACATAAAAAGAATTACCCGACTCATAATCTTAAACTGGCAGCTGTGGTGTTTGCTTTGAAAATTTAGCGCCATTATCTATACGGAGTAACTTGTGAAGTGTATACTGACCATAAAAGCTTAAAATACTTCTTTACCCAAAAAGAACTGAACATGAGACAGATAACCTTTACTCGCTTTAGCATATTACATGTGTGTGATTATTGCCATTGTTGCCATGCTTAAAATTTCAGGGTAACCTTTGTGTGCCAAACTGTTTTGACTTGAGGAAACACATCATGACTGAAGCTCACAATTCGAAATTTGCTATGCATTCAGGAAATACGAAGATGTATCATGACTTGAAACAGAATTTTTGGTAGCTAGGAATAAAAAAGTTTATTGTAGACTTTGTGGCTAGATGTCTACACTGCCAACAAGTTAAAACCAAACATCAACGACCCGCTGGATTACTACAACTGCTTCCAATACCGGAATGGAAGTGGGAATATATTACTATGGACTTTGTTGTGGGATTACCTCGCTCTCCTCAAGGTATGGATTCTATCTGGGTAATTGTTGATCGTTTAACTAAATCCGCACATTTCTTACTTGTTAAATCGTTGTATAATGCGAATAAGTTGGCTAACTTGTATGTTATTGAGATTGTGAGATTGCATGGAGTTCCAGTGTCCATAGTGTCTGACAGAGATTCCAAGTTTACTTCAAGATTCTGGCAGAGTTTGCAACAGGCTTTGGGGACTGAGCTAAGATTAAGCAGTGCTTATCATCCACAAACAGATGGCCAATCTGAATGGACCATTCAAACCTTGGAGGACATGTTACGGATGTCTGTGTTAGACTTTCAAGGCAATTGGGAGACTTATCTTCCTCTGGCTGAATTTGTGTATAACAACAGCTATCATTCAAGCACTAGGATGGCTCCTTACAAAGCTTTGTATAGTAGAAAATGCCGATCTCTGATATGTTAGGCCGAGGTAGGTGATAGACCTTTGTTGGGACCGAAACTGGTACAAGAAACGACTGTGAAATTGATTCAACAAAGATTGAAACTTGTAACAACCCCGATCCCTGATTAACGTTAATCCATGATTAATTATGCCTAACTAGTAATTAAGGTAAAATTCTGGAGTAAATTGCATGTGTGTGTTGCATTATAGTGTTTATATCTATTTAACGTAGAAAGATCTGTTCGTGTTTTTCTTTCGATTTGCGAATTGAAGGCCTTATTAGCATCCGATTCAGAAATTGACTTGATTTATGTGTTAATTGGGATTTTTAGAATTTTATGGTAGGTTTAATTGAAATTCAATTTGGAACGATTAAATTAGATTTATTTAATGCCCATTTATTTGGCCTTATTTAATTACACTTCTACTTAAGCCTACATAAGGCTTATACACCTCATTTTGAGCCTTTTGTTTCACATCATCTTTGAGCCTCCAAGAGGTAAAGACGTGAGAGAGAGAATTAGAGAGTGAGAGTTGATCTCAAGAAAGAAAATGAAGAATTACTAGGCAAATAAGGGGCAAATGGAGATTTGAGCTAGGATTCACCAAGAGTTCAACAATTGAGAACTTTAGGTAGGTCTTACATCCCTTAAAACTTCATTTGACTCACTCCTACAAGAATTCAAGAGAATTATGTTGATTGATGCAAGAATTGAGCTAGGATTAAGGAAAATTAAGTTGTACCATGCATGCATGTCCATACCATGGAGTTTTGAAGTTGTTTTCATGAGAATTCTCACATGCATGTTCATATTATAGTTGTAATCTAAGAATTCACCATGTTTTGGGAAAGAATATCTCATGTGATCATGTTTTGGAAATCATGAATTCAAATGAATACATGCATGGCATAATTACATCGTGTTCTTCCATTTCAAGATGGATTTTTGAGCAATTGCCATCTTTTTGGGCCTTGATTTCATGAAATAATCTTTAAATCATGATGTTTTATGAACTCCTTAATGTTTCCCAGAATTTTGGCCCAAAATATTGAGTTTTGAAGTGTTTAGTTTGAGTTTGAAGCTTGGAAATCAAATCTAGAAATTCCAGAATTTAAATTCACGCTCGAGCGTAGGAGTTCACGCTTGACCGAGAACTCTGAATACGTGCACTTCCGCCCGAACGACCTTATTTCGCTTGAGCGTGAAATGTATGTACCCAAAAGTTCATGTGTTTTGCAGCACACTCGAGTGACAGAAGTCACGCTCGAGCGAGGGTCTGAGTCTCACGCTCGAGCGAAGATCGAGCGTCCGTTAAGCGTGAAAAACAAGCAACATTACTTTTTCAAAGTTTATAGTCCGCTCGAGCGAGGTAAGTCATGCTCGAGTAAACCCTCACTTTCTGCATAAACGCTTGAGCGAGAAAATCCATGCTCGAGCGTGGACCCTATTTTCAGCAAGTTTTGAAAAATGTTTTCAAATGCATTTTTGCATTCTCATTCCACCCTAGGCATTCCTAGGCCATGATTAAGACTCCATAATGAGGTTAAAGGCTAGAAACACACTAAGAACAAATGAAATATCCGAGCATGTGTATTCAATGTATGAATCTGCCATGTTATATACGTCACGCGCCTCAGGATAGGTGAATTGCCTAGTTTGCTGCCAATTTGGAGCTACTAGTTATCTGTGAGTAATAACTTAGTAAAGCTATGTTCAAGTAAATTATTTTCTGCACACGAATTAAGAACTGTTCTATGAAATGTCATGTTTTATGCAGTGAATGATTGTCCAAGTCCAACAAGCACTTAGGACATTATGCTATGATTCAAGTAATGCCATGATTCAAGTATATGCAAGTTCCCGGTTCCGGAGGTTCTTTATGGGACTGACAAGCTATCTATACCCAGCTGGAGATTCCTACATGGAACTGACAAGTTTACAAGTTCCCAGTCCGGAGGTTCCTTTATGGGACTGACAAGTTATTCTTAGCCGGCCGGA